TCCTGGATGAATGGATGAAATTGAAATTGTGTACATACTAGGGATGCATAATGTACTGCTGCTGAAGTCAGATATTGGCTGTTTTTCATCATTTTATTAATGTTTTTGAGCCCTTTTTAAAAATGCACTAAAGGTCATCTTCTAACTATTTATAACCGTATTGTTGCACTCTTATATTCTCAACAATAGAAAAGCATTCCATAAATATGTGCTTGAGCTCATTTTTTTCAAATACAAACCCTTTTGAAAGGGCTCGGGTTGAGTAACTGTAGGTCCATCAGCCACCACCCCAGTGTCACCACCAACTTTCATCAGAGAAGAAAAGGAAGCTTTGAAATGCAGTTTAAACAATTTGATAAAATTATATAGGAGAAGGCTACGTACTAATCTATATAAACATCATTCTTCATCTACATGTTTTCTCAATTTAATAAAGAAAATAAAACAGCCAAGTGGAGATGGACAGAGCAGTATAGAGTCCTTTCTGACTAAAGGAGTGCAAATGTACACCCAGGGACATCCCAGACTGAAGGCTATTAGTGAAGCAGTAATACGGGACTTTATTGTTTCATGCAACATCCAAGTACGATCGATAAGCCCAGCTTTAAAAACATTCTGTCAGTGGTAGGTGAAAGATACTGCCTGCCAAGTCGCAGCACAGTAACCAAACATCTAAGTGAGCGCGCTGCAGAAAAAGTGTCCCGGATAAAATCTTGGACAAGGTAAATATTTCAGTGACTGAGATGAAACCACAAAGCAAGCATGCCTTCACAAATTATTGCACTTATTTTAATTAAAAATGTAATTAGAACTTATTGGGCCATTATTTAAGCATTGTCACAGGCATAGTCAAGAATTGATTCTTGATATTGATTTGAGCTCTTAAGAATTGAGACTTTACTTGGATTTGAGCTCTTAAGACTTGGGACTTGACTTGGATTTGAGCTCCCAAGACTTGGGACTTTACTTGGACTTGAGCTCCCAAGACTTGGGACTTTACTTGGACTTGAGCGCTTAAGACTTG